GCTCTCACTCACCACGCTCACCACACTCACCATGCAAAACTCACCTAAAACTCACCACACTCACCACGCTCACCATGCCACGCTCACCATGCCACGCTCACCATGCAAAACTCACCAAAAACTCACCACGCTCACCTAAAACTCACCACGCTCACCATGCCACACTCACCATGCAAGACTCACCACTCGCCATGCACGACTCACCACACTCACCATGCCACACTCACCATGCAAAACTCACCACGCTCACCATGCAAAACTCACCACACAAAACTCACCACACTCACCATGGTGCCGATGACGGTGGTGTTGGTGGGTAGTGATGGTGGTCATGTCGACGGTGATGATTTTGTTGGCGGTGGTGGGAAACAAGGGGGGTGGTGATGGTGCTGATGATGGTGATGATGGTGGTGATGTTGGTGATGTGGGTGCTGATAATGGTGGTGATGGTGCTGATAATGGTGATGATGGTGGTGATGTTGATGGTAGTGATGTGGGTGCTGATGGTGGTGATGATGATGGTGGTGATGTTGATGCTAGTGATGATGGTAGTGATGGTGGTTATGATGGTGGTGATGTTGATGGTAGTGATGGTAGTGATGGTGGTGATGATGGTGGTGATGTTGATGGTAGTGATGTGGGTGCTGATGGTGGTGATGGTGTTGGTGATGATGATGGTGGTGATGATGGTAGTGATGATGATGGTGGTTATGATGGTGATGATGATGGTGGTGATGGTGCTGATGGTGGTGGTGATGGTGGTGATGGTGGTGATGATGTTGTCTGCAGGCTGTGTGCGCTGGCGCTGTGACTGTGAGATCCGGACTCAGGAAGCGGACTCGCTCACTGGTGAAACACCATCATCATCACCACCATCATCATCATCACCACCATCATCATCACCACCATCATCATCACCATCATCATCATCACCATCATCATCACCACCACCATCATCATCACCATCATCACCATCATCATCATCACCATTATCATCACCACCACCATCATCATCACCATCATCATCATCATCACCATCATCACCATCATCATCATCATCACCATCATCATCATCACCATCATCATCACCATCATCATCACATCATCATCATCACCATCATCATCACCATCATCACCACCACCATCATCATCACCATCATCATCATCACCATCATCATCACCATCATCATCATCACCATTATCATCACCACCACCATCATCATCACCATCATCATCACCATCATCATCATCACCATCATCATCATCACCATCATCATCACCATCATCATCACCATCATCATCATCACCATCATCATCACCACCACCATCATCATCACCATCATCATCATCACCATCATCATCATCACCATCATCATCACCATCATCATCATCACCATCATCATCACCACCACCATCATCATCACCATCATCATCATCACCATCATCATCACCATCATCATCATCACCATTATCATCACCACCACCATCATCATCACCATCATCATCACCATCATCATCATCACCATCATCATCATCACCATCATCATCACCACCACCATCATCATCACCATCATCATCATCACCATCATCATCACCATTATCATCACCACCACCATCATCATCACCATCATCATCATCACCATCATCATCATCATCACCATCATCATCATCACCATCATCATCATCACCATCATCATCATCACCATCATCATCACCATCATCATCATCACCATCATCATCACCACCACCATCATCATCACCATCATCATCACCATCATCATCACCATCATCACCATCATCATCACCACCACCATCACCACTATCATCACCATCATCACCACCATCATCACCACCACCATCACCACCATCACCACCACCATCACCACCATCACCACCACCATCATCATCACCACCATCATCATCATCACCATCATCACCATCATCATCATCATCACCACCACCATCACCACTATCATCACCATCATCACCACCATCATCACCACCACCATCACCACCACCATCACCACCATCACCACCACCATCACCACCACCATCATCATCATCACCACCATCATCATCACCATCATCACCATCATCATCATCACCACCACCATCACCACTATCATCACCATCATCACCACCATCACCACCACCATCATCACCATCATCATCACCACCACCATCATCACCATCACTATCATCATCATCATCATCACCACCATCAGCATCATCATCACCATCACCATCATCGAGAGCATTCTTACATACTGCATCTGTGTATGGTACACCAGCTGCACAGTGGCTCAGAGGAGAGCGCTCCAGAGGGTCATCAACACAGCCCAAAAGATCGCCGGCTGCCATCTCCCCACACTTGAAGAACTACACAGTTCACGTTGCATCAAAAAAGCACAGCACATTATAGAGGACTCTTCCCACCCTGGACACTCACTGTTTGAGCTGTTGCCATCAGGCAGACGATTCAGATCAGTCAAAACAAGGACAAACAGATTCAAACAGAGCTTTTATCCTACAGCGATCACCACACTCAATAATGCTAATTAATTATTAAGTAATAGCGTTTACAATTGACTGTGAAATAGAGATGTGCAATGACAAAATGTAACCTTATGTGGGTATGTGGGTATACTTGGGCTGTTTTTATATATAGTATAAATTGATTATCTTTCATTTAATTTTATTTTTATTTTCTTGTTTTATTTAATTTAAATTTATGAATGAGGCCCTGACTGGTGAGCATTTTAAATTTCGTTGTACTGGTGACAATGACAATAAACGATCTATCTATCTATCATCATCACCACCATCACTATCATCATCACCACCACCATCACTATCATCATCACCACCATCATCACCACCATCACCATCACCACCACAATCATCACCATCACCACCACAATCATCACCATCACCACCACAATCATCACCATCAACACAATCATCACCACCACCATCACCACCATCATCACCACCACCACCACCACCATCATCACCACCATCACCACCACCATCATCACCATCATCACCACCACCACCACCATCATCACCACCACCATCACCACCATCATCACGACCACAATCATCATCATCACCATCATCACCACCACAATCATCATCATCATCATCACCACCACCACCACCACCATCACCACCATCACCACCACCATCATCATCACCACCACCACCACCATCATCACCACCATCACCACCACAATCATCATCACCATCACCACCACCATCATCATCATCACCACCACCATCACGACCACAATCATCACCATCATCATTGTCCCCCGGTGTCTCACCCCCCCCCCCCCCCCCCCCCATTGTCTCACCCCCCATTGTCTCCCATTGCCTCACCCCCCCCATTGTCTCACCCTCTCATCGTCCCCCATTGCCTCACCTCCCCCCGCAGGCCGAGGCTTCGTGTGCTCTCTGCGTGCTGAGCGCGGCCTGCAGTGTCCCCCACCTGTCCCTGGCGCTCTGCTCGCTGCTCATGGGCCCCCTGTGCCGCTACTCACACGCCGGCGTGGCCGGCACCGCCTACCTGGGCCAGGCCGTGCGCTGGCCATACCCCTACGCCCTGTGGCAGGTGACGGCGCGCGCAGAGATACACACACCGCTCGCTCCACGTGAGAACACCAACACCACTCTCACCACCACTCACATCATCACCACTCTCACCACCACTCACATCATCACCACCACCACCACTCACATCATCACCACCACTCACCACCACTCACCACGACACTCACCGTGAGAACACCACCACTCACCACCACACTCACCACCACTCTCACCACCACTCACCACCACACTCACCACCACTCACCACCACTCACCACGACACTCACCGTGAGAACACCACCACTCACCACCACTCTCACCACCACTCACCACCACTCTCACCACCACTCACCACCACTCACCACCACTCTCACCACCACTCACCACCACACTCACCACCACTCTCACCACCACTCACCACCACACTCACCACCACACTCACCACCACTCACCACCACACTCACCACCACTCTCACCACCACTCACCACCACTCCCACCACACTCACCACCACTCACCACCACTCACCACGACACTCACCGTGAGAACACCACCACTCTCACCACCACTCACCACCACTCTCACCACCACTCACCACCACTCACCACCACTCACCACCACTCTCACCACCACTCACCACCACACTCACCACCACTCTCACCACCACTCACCACCACACTCACCACCACACTCACCACCACTCACCACCACACTCACCACCACTCACCACCACACTCACCATGAGAACACCACTCACCACGACTCTCACCACCACTCACCGTGAGAACACCACCACTCACCACCACCACTCTCACCACCACACTCACCACCACTCACCACCACACTCACCACCACTCACCACCACACTCACCACCACTCACCACCACTCACCACCACTCTCACCACCACTCACCACCACTCTCACCACCACTCACCACCACACTCACCACCACTCTCACCACCACTCTCACCACCACTCTCACCACCACTCTCACCACCACACTCACCACCACACTCACCACCACTCTCACCACCACTCACCACCACTCTCACCACCACTCACCACCACCACTCACCACCACTCTCACCACCACTCTCACCACCACTCTCACCACCACTCTCACCACCACTCTCACCACCACTCACCACCACCACTCACCACCACACTCACCACCACTCACCACCACTCTCACCACCACTCTCACCACCACACTCACCACCACTCTCACCACCACTCACCACGACACTCACCGTGAGAACACCACCACTCTCACCACGACGCCACTCACCACGACTCTCACCACGACATCATTCGGCGTGGCACCACTCACCACCACCACTCACCACAACACTCACGACTCACCACGCCACTCGCAGGGTCACTCACAATGCTCCCCCCCCCACCCCCCCACTCGCCACAACGCCACTCGCCACTCAGCCGGTCGGCACTCGCTATACCGGTGAAGGACTCTCACGACGCAAGCACGTCACGTCACCCCCTTGTCCACCCCCGTGTTCCCCCCACGCGTCCACCCCATGTCCACCCCGTGTCCCTCCCCGTGTCACCCCCCCCCCGTGCCCCCCCCCCCCCCAGGAGACGAGGACGTACTGCGTGGAGCCGCTGGGTGCCGAGTGGCAGCACCTGGCGCTGCAGGTTCTGGACGCGACGTTGTCCACCTCCGAGTTTGCGCTCGCACTCGCAGCCTGCGTGGGGCAGGGACGACGCCTGTTCCGCTCGCGGGTAACAACAACCAGCCAACAGCCCCCAGCCAACAGCCCCCAGCCAACAGCTCCCAGCCAACAGCCCCCAGCCAACAGCCCCCAGCCAACAGCCCCCAGCCCTGTCTGTGTGGAGCGTCTGTCTATAGCGTCTGTCTGTGTCTGTCTGGAGGGTCTGTCTGTCTGTCTGTAGCGTCTGTCTGGAGCGTCTGTCTGGAGCGTCTGTCTGGAGCGTCTGTCTGGAGCGTCTGTCTATCTGTCAGTCTTCCTGCTCCGGTCTCATCACCACCGCCACCACCATCACCACCATCATCACCATCACCACCATCACCACCACCATCACCACCATCACCACCACTACCATCACCATCACCACCGCCATCATCACCATCACCACCATCATCACCATCACCACCACTACCATCACCATCACCACCACCATCACCACCATCACCACCACCACCATCACCACCACTACCATCATCATCACCACCACCATCACCACCGCCATCATCACCATCACCATCATCACCATCACCACCACCATCACCACCAACACCATCACCATCATCACCACCACCATCACCACCACCACGCTGCCAAACGAACGCCCTCTGTGTCTCCATCTTTTGTCTTCCAGAACAAGGTGCGCAACCACGTGTGGTGAGTAACCACGCGTGGTGAGCGAACAGCGTGGTGAGCGTGGCACCACCACGAGGAGGAGGAGGGGGGGGGTGGAGACGCTGGCGCGAGACCCTCCGGACCAACGCTTCAAGTGCTCGTCTCCTGCACGCGTCACCGCTGCTACCCCCCCCAACTCCCCCGTCACACACAGAGACACAGACACACACACACAGGTACACACACAGACACACACACAGGTACACACACAGACACACACACACATAGGTACACACACAGACACACACACGCACGTACACACACACGCACAGCTACACACACAGGTACACACACATACACACGCAGGTACACACACACACGCACTCAGACACAGGCACACACACACGTACACATACACAAACAGCTACACACACAGGTACACACACACGCACAGACACACACACACAGACACACACACACAGGCACACACACAGGTACACACACACACACACGCAGGTACACACACACACGCACTCAGATACAGGCACACACACACACGCACTCAGATACAGGCACACACACACACGTACACATACACAAACAGCTACACACACAGGTACACACACACGCACAGACACACACACAGGTACACACACACACGCACAGACACACACACACAGACACACACACACAGGCACACACACAGGTACACACACACGCATGCACGCGCACAGACACACGCACACACGCACGCAGACACACACACACGCGTGTATAGTCCATAGCCGTCAACCCCTTGTCAGCGCCCGACCATATCACCAATTCAGACCGTGTTGGTCACCCCGTGCCAGTTATACATCTCAAAGTTCATCCTACAAAGTCACTTTACACTACACTATACACTACACTATACACTACACTATACACTACACTATACACTACACACTTTACACTACTATACACTACACTATACACTACTATACACTACACTATACACTACACTACTATACACTACACTATACACTACACTATACACTACACTACTATACACTACACTACACACTACTATACACTACACTATACACTACTATACACTACACTACACACTACTATACACTACAATACACTATTACACACTATACACTACACGACTATACACTACACTTCTATACCATACCTGTCAACCCCTTATCAGTGCCCTACCTTAATTACAGACCAACTCAGACCTTATTGGTCCCATCACAAGAGAGAAACACAAACAGCCAAAAAATAAAACCGTGTGCCCAAATTGAAACGGCTGTACGCCGAACAGACCTGTACACTCAAGTTCCCTGTACAAGAATCCGGGGTAAACCGTGATGGGTTGATATCTATGATACACATACAGTACATACACATATATACCCTACTCGTGTGGCTGTGGGCCTCCCCTAGGTCCACTCAGCCTCCTCAGAGTGAGCAGCAATCATCAGATCATCAGCATACATAACATGGTTCGTCATTAACCGCACCCGGGCACTGATCAGCCCTCCCATTGTATCTGCTGTACCAGATAGAAATTCCTCTGGTACAGCCACGCCAGCGACGATGATTTGAACTGGTCCTGGCCCCCCCCTAGGTCGGCTCGGCCTGTAACGAGTACCTGGGGCGGTGTGTAGTGAGCATCGCCACTGGGGAGACAAAGGCGGCCGGGCGTGGTGCTGGCCACCCACCCCTCGTGTGCCGTGCCGGCTTTCATAATGTGTCTGTTAAACTTCTTTGATTCTTTCGGTAAAGTCGCGTAGAAAATAATATAAATTAACTAATAGAATAGGACGTTTCGATTGCAACACAAGCAATGGTCATCAGGTGTGACTGAATGAGAAAACAAAGCTAGTGGACTTAGAACTACAATGCAAGACAACACAGAGAGTCGGCTAACACAGCAGTCAACACCCAACGTGGTTGATTACGTTCTTACAAAGAATGCTACATTTGAGAGAGAGACAAAACACAGAGACACGTAGAAAGACACACAAGCAGAGAGAGACACACAGAGAGAGACAACACAGAGACACAGAGAGAGAGACACACACAGACACACAGAGAGAAACAACACAGAGACACACAACCAGAGAGAGACACACACACAGAGACACACAGAGAGACACAGAGAGATACACACAAGCAGAGAGAGACACACACAGAGAGACACAGAGAGGGACACACAACATAGACACACAACATAGACACACAAGTCCCATAGAGACACAGACTCCCAGACTCCCAGAGACACAGACTCCCAGGGACAGAGGCACATAGAGACACAGAGATCAGCACGGTTGGGTACGTACGGTGCAAAAGGAAGTTCAACACACGTACGCAGGGGACATGGTCTCGCCACGATATATAAGTGTTTGTATTAAACGACTGCGGGTGCAACGATCACAGCCTCTCAGCAACAACACAAACCGCAGCCTCTGCCGCCTGCCAACCGCGCTACTCAACTCCATGGCCCAGTTTAGCAACGGAGGCTTTCGACCGCCGATATTCAAGCCGGCGAAACGCCGCAGCGAACATTGCGGGTTTACTCTCCCGACACACAACCCGGCGTTTACTCCACGCGACTTGGCAACTGCAGCCGATCGATCGCCACTAGGGTTGGCGGTGATGTCGCGGGCGCCCGTGCCAGGCTTGGTGCACCACGAGGCCGGAACACTTCGAGTGTGTGGCTCTCGCAAGCTGGCAAGACCGGGAGCAACAGGAGAGCTTCACCATTCTTGCCCGATGAAGCTGATTGTAATTATCAGCGAAACGTCGCACTACTCACATTTTAAAATGCTGTTGATTCTCTCTTCAGCACACCACCGGTGGGGCTAAAGAAGTGAATTAATTTGTCCTTTGAAAAAAACGTGACACATTGTTTACTGTTTGGCCGTGTCGGGTGGTGGAGGGTTACGACACATTTATAAACAACGCGATCTCAACCCAACAACGTTGATTATGAATAATATTGGTCGTGAAAGCATGCTACGTGTTAAATTGGCAAGAGGTGGTCACGGGGCAGACCCTCCCTCCCTCCACCCAATTGTGGCCCGTCACACGATGGGCACGCTACCGTAAACAACAACAAAAAACAACCGCAAACCACAACAACAACGCACCAAATCACAGCACGCACGGCGTCAACGGCGGCCGTGGCAGAGAAACAAAACCCAACAACAACCCTAACCCTCCTCTTGGTTCTTTCGGTAAAGTCACGTAGAAGGGAGATAATAAAATAATAAAAATAAAACATCATAAAATAATTCTGACGACGTTTCGGCCACAACGCAAGCGGCCGTCCTCAGGTGAAGAACAGGTCTGTCGGGAAGACAGCGTCCCAATGCTGCTTGCGTTGTGGCCGAAACGTCGTGAGAATTATTTTATGTTTTATTTTTATTATTTTATTATTTCCCTTCTACGTGACTTTACCGAAAGAACCAAGAAGATGAATCCCTGCAGTCACGAAAGAAGCTGAACATCGAAATTTGCACGTTACAAGTTACGCTACCTTACACACCCACCACGACGGCTTTCGGCTGTTACCGTGTTGTCATGCGTTGCACAACGCCGGAATAAAATTGTATCTCGAGCGAACCGGGTCCTGATCCTGGTTGACTCGCGCGCCGCGGACTGCGCTAGCGCCACACCGCAGCTTTGCGACTTCGCCCGGCTTGACGGACGCCGCCTCCGGCTGACCTGGATCGACGCGGCACTGCGGCGGAGGGGCGAGTGGCGGGATGAGCGGTGGGGCCGTGCGGAGGCTGCGCACGCGAACAGGGGAAACGCGCAGATGGTGCGACAAAGCCTCTCGCGAATGCAGAAACCTCTTCTTGGTTCTTTCGGTAAAGTCACGTAGAATGGGAATAATAAAGTAATAACAATAAAACGTAATAAAATAATTGTCACGACGTTTTCGGCCACAACGCAAGCAGCCGTCCTCAGGTGGAGAACAGGTCTGTCGAGAAGACAGAGTCTAAATGACACACCCCAGGCTTGGAGCGTCTATTTAAGCTGCTGGGTTGGAGGGGGGAAGAGCGCCTTGACAAAATAATTTGCATATCAAGAGGAATTTAGCATATTTATGGGAAATGCAGATATGCGATTAGTACTACTTGTGAAATGCGTAGGTTTGGCGGGGGGTTTAAAGTCATATTATGCCCGTGCATTATGCAGGATTAGAAGATGAATCCGTGCAGTCACGAAAGCTTTAAATCGAAATGCAGAAACCTCGTACCGGTGGGGAAAGAAAATGGAATAATGAAATGTACCGTACTAGTAATGGAAGAACTCCACGACTCCAGGAAGTGGCCCCGAGGCTTGCCACAACGTAAGGGGCCGTGGCCAATTACAGACAACGTCAGTTGAGCGTGGACAATTAGACCCAAGCCGAAACATAACATGTAAAAAAGAATATTTAAAAACGATATATATATTTTATATATATATAAAAATATATATATATGATATAATATGGTATTGTCATCAGTGTGACATCAGTATACCAAGTTTGCAGTCGATACCACATTGGGAAGTGGGTTAAAATTGAGTTACAAGATTTGAGGATACAACAACAGACAGTTAAATAAAAGCGTGTAACAATAGGGCTTATTTTGCCTTTTGGCGTCATCTGGTCCAACACCAATGGAGACTAGGCTCTAAGAAAAGCTGTCTCGGGTGTGGACCAATCAACTTCAAGGACAGTGCATACATTATCAGAGTTGTGTTTTTTGTTTGCATTTTGACTGCTTGTGTTGTGGTTATTGCAAACATGATCCCTTGTATAAAGGTGTCAGTTTTTGTACCAGTTGAAAGGGTAAAAACCTATTACTATAAAGAGTATGAATCCTTGAAGTCACAAAAACTTCAAATCTACTCTAGCACAGAGGTCGCAAACGGGTTTTGATTCCTTACCCGTACCCAGCCGCACCAGGGTCGCAAACGGGTACCCGGCCGTACCCGTACCCTACCCGGCCGAGTACGGGTAGGGTACGGGTATCGGGTACCTGATTGCGACCTCTGGGATGAAGCCATGTTGCGGGCGCGGGTGGGTTGATTCTAGAAACTTGAATTGTGAGAAGAGACAAGACGTTGGGAAATGAGTGACAAACGGTGACTCACCAGTGACTCACGGCCTACCCGTACCCGGCCGCACCAGGGTCGCAAATGGGTACCCGTACCCGTACCCGGCCGGGTACGGGTAGCCGGGTATCGGGTAGGGTACGGGTATCGGGTATCCGGTTGCGACCTCTGCTCCAGCAGCAGCAGTGCGACGCATACCTTGCAAGTGCGAGGAACAATGGGTGAGCAGATGACCTCCCCGACAGAACTCGGGGGAGGAGGAGGTTGATGAGGTGGACACTTCTCGGCGGGGTCCCTGTCGAGATAAATCGACATGCGTGGGTGTACAGGCGGTTCACAACGGCCGCGTCAGGGACGCTTGTGTGTACGCACGTTGAACTTCTTTCGCACCGTACAAGGCCAACCGCTCTAGATCGCAGGTGCGGGGTGAAGGACAACAAACTAAACACATTAAGGAGTTCTAGAGAAGTGAGTTTCCAATCAAGAGCAAGACTGATGGAGGCTCTGCTCGGAGATTCGAATAGATTTTTCAGCCAAAACTGAAGCTGCGAGTGGCTGAGCGAGTGGGTGAACGTGGTGCATCTGCCAGACATCTCAGCCCACGGCACCTGGGTCTGTCCCGCGACCTCGTGCCAGCGGAGAGCGTTCGAACACTTCGCGTGATGGCCTCGGAGCACACCTGGGGCCTGGCACAAGCGCCACGGTAACATCACTGCCACTTAGTGGCGAACGGCGGCTGTTGTTGTGGGTGTGGGGATGTGAATGAACGAGTGAGTAGTGGTGGTTAGCGCTACGCTGCGCTACAAACCCGGCGGCCAGAGTGCGATTCCCACTCACGGTCACCAACACCGGTGACGATGATCGGAACCGTTTCTGGGCCTCCCCTAGGTCGACTCAGCCTTAAATAAGTACCTGGCGCGGTGTGTAAACATCGCTACGAGGGAGACAAAGGCGGCCGGGCGTGGTGCTGGCCACCCACCTCCTCGTGTGCCGTGCCGGCCTTTGTCGGTGCTACTCGCTACCAGCACTTGCCCCAACAGTCTGTTCAGGCTACACGGGGGGTCTTTGTCTTGTGAACGAGTGAGTGAAGTGGGTCATCCGCAGCAGCAGCAGCCAGCAGCAGTAGCAGCAGTAGCCAACAGCAGCAGACAGCAGTAGCCAACAGCAGCAGACAGCAGTAGCAGCAGCAGCCAGCAGCAGTAACCAGCAGCAGTAGCAGCAGCTACAGCAGCAACTCTCAGTAGCAGCAGCAGCCAGCAGCAGCAGTCAGTAGCAGCAGTAGCAGCAGCAGTCAACAGCAGCAACCAGCAGCAGTCAGCAGCAGCACACAGCAGCAGCAGTAGTAGCAGCCAGCAGCAGCAGCAGTCAGCAGCAGCAGTAGCTAGCAGCAGCAGTCTGCAGCAGCAGCAGCAGTCATCATCAGCAGCAGCAGCAGCAGTAGACAGCAGCAGTCAGCTACAGCAGCTACAGCAGCAGTAGCAGCAGTCAGCAGCAGCAGCCAGCAGCAGCAGACAGCAGCAGCAGCAGCCAGCAGCAATCATCAGCAGCAGCAGACAGCAGCAGTCAGCAGCAGCTACATCAGCAGCAGTAGCAGCAGCTACAACAGCAGCAGCTACAGCAGCAGCAACAGCAGCAGCAGCAGTCATCAGCAGCCAGCAGCAGTAGCAGCAGTTGGAGCCAGCAGCAGCTACAGCAGCTACAGCAGCAGCAGGCAGTAGCAGCAGCAGCAGACAGCAGCTACAGCAGCAGTCATCAGCAGTCATCAGCAACAGCAGCAGCAGCTACAGCAGCTACAGCAGCAGACAGCAGCCAGCAGCAGCTACAGCAGCGATCAATCTACACCTCTGACAGCTCAAACCCCCACCTCTTTCTCAATGGCCCCATCGTCTTTCTCCGAGTTTTCAAGTAACACCGGAGCTTGGCTCCGAGCCTCACTTATTGTCATTTATGTTCGCGAAATATTGGGCGCATTACAGATTTGCACGATCGTTGTTATTATGGCGAGTGGCTGAACGGGTGGGTAAGTTGGTGTTGAGGTCGATGAATGGTTACGTGAGTTTTTTGGTGGATGAGTGAATTGATATTTGAGTGGGTGAGTAGGTGAGCTAGCATGTAAGAGGGTGACCGAGTTATTTGTGCGAGTGGGTGGGTGGGTGAGCAGCTACAGGGTGAGCGAGTGAAGAATGTGTGATTGCGTGGGAGAAGAGAGTGAGTGAGCGAGTGAGTGAGCGATTGGGTGAACAAACAGATGAACGTGTGATTGTGTGGAAGAGAGGGTGAGCGAGTGGGTGAGCGATTGGGTGAGCGAACGGATGAACGTGTGATTGCGCGGGAGAGAGGGTGAGTGTGAGATGGTATGCTCACCTGCCCAGAGCGGATCCAGACTCCTGAAACTCCCCACTCAGAGGAATTCCCGGGGAACGGCTTAACAGCTGCAAAATCGTCAGCATCAACGTCATCATCATCATCATCCACCACCACCTCGCCATCATCAATGATGCGATCACTGAGTGTGTGTATATGGGTGGCTATACGAGTATACGTGACTTTTTCGATTTAAAGCTTTCGTGACTGCAGGGATTCATCTTCTTGGTTCTTTCGGTAAAGTCACGTAGAAGGGAAACAATAAAAATAATGAAATCAAACATAATAAAATAATTCTCACGACGTTTCGGCTACAACGCAAGCAGCCGTCCTCAGGTGAAGACCAGGTCTGTCGGGGAGACAGCGTCTGAGTGAAAACAGACGCTCGTCTCCCCGACATGAATGAAAACAGACGCTGTCTCCCCGACAAACCTGGTCTTCACCTGATGACGGCTGCTTGCGTTGTGGCCGAAACGTCGTGAGAATTATTTTATTTGGTTTTATTTTTATTATTTTCATTCTACGTGACTTTACCGAAAGAACCAAGAAGATACACGTGCCTTGTGTGAGCGTGAGAGTGTGGGGAGCGGTGGTGGCGCCAACAACCCCAGTTCGATTCCTAGTCACGACCAATAACGGTGGCGAACATCTGAACCGGTGCCGAGCTTCCCCGAGGTCGAATCAACCTCACGGACGAGTAGCTGGTGCCGTGTGCAGTAAACATCGCCACTGGGGAGACAAAGGCGGCCGGGCGTGGTGCTGGCCACCCACCCCCTCGTGTGCCACAGTGCCGGTAGCCTTCATAAGTGCTGCTCGCTAACAGCACTTGCCCCAGCAGTCTGTTACAGGCTATACGGGGCATCTTTGTCTTTGTTTGTACCGGTGACGTCACAACGACGCTTGTGCCAGGCTAGGTGCAGGAGGTCACGGGACAGACCCAGTAGGTGACGTGGGTTGACTGCTGTGCCAGGCTAGGTGCAGGAGGTCACGGGACAGCCCAGCAGGTGACGTGGGTTGACTGCTGTGCCAGGCTAGGTGCAGGAGGTCACGGGACAGACCCAGCAGGTGACGTGGGTTGACTGCTGTGCCAGGCTAGGTGCAGGAGGTCACGGGACAGACCCAGCAGGTGACGTGGGTTGACTGCTGTGCCAGGCTAGGTGCAGGTCACGGTACAGACCCAGCAGGTGCCATGGGTGACTGCTGTGCCAGGCTAGGTGCAGGAGGTCACGGGACGACGATGATCCGAACCGGTCCTGGGCCTCCTCCTCTAGGTCGACTCAGCCTCAAACGAGTACCTGGTGCGGTGTGCAAGCAACAACACCACTGGGGAGACAAAGGCGGCCGGGCGTGGTGCTGGCCACCCACCCCCTCGTGTGCCGTGCCGGCCAGCTCACTAACAGCACTTGCCCCAGCAGTCTGTTGAGGCTACGTGCATGAATGTGTGAGTACATGTATACGTGCGAGTGCATATCTGGGTGTGTACATGTATGTACATGTATGTGTGAGTGCTGATGTGGGTGTGTACATGTATGTACATGTATGTGTGAGTGCTGATGTGTGTGTGTGTACATGTATGTACATGCTGATGTGTGTGTACATGTATGTACATGTATGTGTGCGTGCTGATGTGTGTGTACATGTATGTACATGTATGTGTGCGTGCTGATGTGTGTGTACATGTATGTACATGTATGTGCGAGTGCTGATGTGTGTGTACATGTATGTGTGAGTGCTGATGTGTGTGTACATGTATGTGCATGTATGTGTGAGTGCTGATGTGTGTGTACATGTATGTACATGTGTGTGTGCGTGCTGATGTGTGTGTGTACATGTGTGTACATGTATGTGTGAGTGCATATCTTGGTGTGTATATGTATGTACATGTATGTGTGCGTGCTGATGTGTGTGTACATGTATGTACATGTGTGTGTGCGTGCTGATGTGGGTGTACATGTATGTACATGTATGTACATGTATGTGTGCGTGCTGATGTGGGTGTACATGTATGTACATGTATGTACATGTGTGTGTGCGTGCTGATGTGTGTGTGTACATGTGTGTACATGTATGTGTGCGTGCGTGGAGCAAGTTACCATCTGCACGTATCTCCTCAGCTCACATTCTCTTTCTCCTCTCCACTCGTCCCCTCTGCTCTGCGAGCCAGCGGCGGTCGTGCCGTGGCCGGCGGCGGTCGTGCCGTGGCCGGCGGTGGGCGTGCCGTGGCCGGCGGTGGGCGTGCCGTGGCCGGCGGTGGGCGTGCCGTGTCCGGCGGCGGTCGTGCCGTGGATGACCACGGACACGGCGGGGCTGCTCGTGCGTCTGTTATGGCTGCGGGTGTTTGCTGCGCGAGTGGCGGTGCCGGAGGTAGATGCGGTGACATTGAGGAGGGGCGGAGTGGCGACAGACGTGTCTCCGTTAGCGATAGACCGCTGTGTGATAGGGACAGTGTGGTGTGTGTTAGGGACAGTCTGCTGTGTGTTAACGACAGACTGCTGTGCGTTAAGGACAGTCTGGTGTGTGTTAGCGACAGTCTGGTGTGTGTTAGCGACAGTCTGGTATGTGTTAGGGACAGTGTGGTATTCGCTAGGGATAGTGTGGTATGTGTTAGCGATAGACTGGTGTGTGTTAGCGATAGACTGGTGTGTGTTAGGGACAGTCTGGTATGTGTTAGGGATAGTGTGGTATGCGTTAGGGACAGTCTCGTGTGTGTTAGCGATAGACTGCTGTGCGTTAGAGACAGTCTGGTATGCGATAGGGACAGCCTGGTATTCGCTAGGGATAGTGTGGTATGCGTTAGCGATAGACTGCTGTGCGTTAGGGAAAGTCTGGTGTGCGTTAAGGACAGTATGGTATTCGCTAGGGATAGTGTGGTGTGTAATAGGGACAGCCTCGTGTGTGTTAGGGATAGTGTGGTGTGTGTTAGGGACAGTCTCGTGTGCGTTAGGGATAGTCTGGTATTCGCTAGGGATAGTGTGGTATGCGTTAGCGATAGATTGGTGTGCGTTAGAAACAATCTGGTATTCGCTAGGGATAGTGTGGTGTGCGTTAGGCATAGTGTGGTGTGCGTTAGGGACAGTCTGGTATTCGCTAGGGATAGTGTGGTATGCGTTAGGCATAGTGTGGTGTGCGTTAGGGATAGTGTGGTGTGCGCTAGGCATAGTGTGGTGTGCGTTAGGCATAGTGTGGTGTGCGTTAGGCACAGTGTGGTGTGTGTTAGGCACAGTGTGGTGTGTGTTAGGCATAGTGTGGTGTGCGTTAGGGATAGTGTGGTGTGCGCTAGGCATAGTGTGGTGTGCGTTAGGAACAGTGTGGTGTGCGTTAGGCACAGTGTGGTGTGCGTTATGCATAGTGTGGTGTGCGTTAGGCACAGCCTGGTCCATGTAAGCGAGGGATGTGTGCGTGCTATGGACAGCAGGCGTGTATTTGTCGGGGCTCAAGTCATGCAAATTGTGGATGGACGCGTTCTGGCCGGCGGTGTACGCGTCAGGGCCGATTGCGACTGTGCTGCTGCTGTTGCAGCCGCTGCTGCTGCTGCTGCTGTTGCAGTTACTGCTGCTGCTGCTGCCGCTACTGCTGCTGCTGAGTGTGGTTGAGGCGCACGCGGCGGAGATGGGCGCGTACGCTGCCGTGCTGCCAGAGGCGAGCGCGTCGTGGTCGACCGCCGCGTACCCCGTCCGCGCAGCGGGGCTCGTGATGTGAGCGGCGGGGCCGCCGGCGCTGCGCGTGCCGTGGCCGGCGGTCCCCGCGTCCGCCGCCTCGTGGCGGACGAGGCGAGAGAGCGCCAGCGTCGTCTCGTGTCTCCACGCCTCGAGGGCTCGCTTCTCCCAGGACAGGCGCTCCGTCTCCGCGCGGACGACGCGGAGGCTGCAGGGGACAAGGCGCACGAAGAAGCGCGCGCGCTAACCGGAGTGTCCACCATCATCCCGTGTCTCCGAACGTGTCCCCCGTGTTTCTGTGTCTCCAATCGTGTCTTCAATCGTGTGCCCTGGTGTCTCCAATTGTGTCTGTGTCTCCAATCGTGTGTCTCTGTGTCTCCAATCTTATCCCCCGTGTTTCCAATCGTGTCCCCCGTTCATATGGTACAGGTACAATGGGAGGCTGACCGCTGCCCGGGTGCGGTCAAGCGATGGCTCCCTCTATGTTGATGATCTGGTGATTGCTGCTCAATCAGGAGTTGGTAACTCAACTGCTGAACCTGCATTGTGCCACTTCGTGGTGGGGCCTTACTATTGTAATGACAGTAGAGTCTACCTGCAGTGCGAGTGGACTGGTGGCCACGGGAGGTAATGACAGGGGAGTCAGCTGTGAGTGTGAAGGGACTGGTGGCCACGGGAGGTAATGACAGGGGAGTCAGTTGTGAGTGCGAAGGGACTGGTGGCCACGGGAGGTAATGACAGGGGAGTCAGTTGTGAGTGCGAAGGGACTGGTGGCCACGGGAGGTAATGACAGGGGAGTCAGCTGTGAGTGTGAAGGGACTGGTGGCCACGGGAGGTAATGACAGGGGAGTCAGCTGTGAGTGTGAAGGGACTGGTGGCCACGGGAGGTAATGACAGGGGAGTCAGCTGTGAGTGTGAAGGGACTGGTGGCCACGGGAGGTAATGACAGGGGAGTCAGCTGTGAGTGTGAAGGGACTGGTGGCCACGGGAGGTAATGACAGGGGAGTCAGTTGTGAGTGCGAAGGGACTGGTGGCCACGGGAGGTAATGACAGGGGAGTCAGCTGTGAGTGTGAAGGGACTGGTGGCCACGGGAGGTAATGACAGGGGAGTCAGCTGTGAGTGTGAAGGGACTGGTGGCCACGGGAGGTAATGACAGGGGAGTCAGCTGTGAGTGTGAAGGGACTAGTGGCCACGGGAGGTAATGACAGGGGAGTCAGCTGTGAGTGTGAAGGGACTAGTGGCCACGGGAGGTAATGACAGGGGAGTCAGTTGTGAGTGTGAAGGGACTGGTGGCCACGGGAGGTAATGACAGGGGAGTCAGCCTGCAGTGCGAGTGGACTGGTGGCCACGGGAGGTAATGACAGGGGAGTCATCTTGCAGGACGAAGGGACTGGTGGCCACGGGAGGTAATGACAGGAGAGTCAGCTTGCGGCACGAAGGGACTGGTGGCCACGGGAGGTAATGACAGGGGAGTCAGCCTGCAGTGTGAGTGGACTGGTGGCCACGGGAGGTAATGACAGGGGAGTCAGCTGTGAGTGTGAAGGGACTGGTGGCCACGGGAGGTAATGACAGGGGAGTCAGCTGTGAGTGTGAAGGGACTGGTGGCCACGGGAGGTAATGACAGGGGAGTCAGCCTGCAGTGCGAAGGAACTGGTGGCCACGGGAGGTAATGACAGGAGAGTCAGCTTGCGGCACGAAGGGACTGGTGGCCACGGGAGGTAATGACAGGGGAGTCAGCCTGCAGTGCGAGTGGACTGGTGGCCACGGGAGGTAATGACAGGGGAGTCATCTTGCAGGACGAAGGGACTGGTGGCCACGGGAGGTAATGACAGGAGAGTCAGCTTGCGGCACGAAGGGACTGGTGGCCACGGGAGGTAATGACAGGGGAGTCAGCTGTGAGTGCGAAGGGACTGGTGGCCATGGGAGGTAATGACAGGGGAGTCAGCTGTGAGTGTGAAGGGACTGGTGGCCACGGGAGGTAATGACAGGGGAGTCAGCTGTGAGTGCGAAGGGACTGGTGGCCACGGGAGGTAATGACAGGAGAGTCAGCTTGCAGGACGAAGGGACTTGTGGCGAGGGAAGAGGACGGTAGAGTCTGCTGGTGGAGCGAGCGTCCAGTCAGCAAGAAGGTTCTGGAAGGGGGGGGTGAGGCCTCAGTCCGTATATAAGGGAGATACGCGGGAGACTTGGGGCAGTTGCAGTGGGGTCTCCGTCTGTTCGAGTGAACGTGTCTTCATTAAAGAAACCATCTCAAGAAAAATGTGTCAAGTCGTCTTTGCACTATCATTCCCACCAAACATAACGCATCTACCCGGGCATTTTATGCAGTAAAATACCCCACCTCCTCGTGAGTGATGGGGCAGTTGTGGAGAGAAACGATGACCTCCCACACCTGAGTAGTGAGCTTGTGACCAGTACCAGTTTGGCGGCAGAGGTCTTACTCCGAATCAGTCGAGCAGCATTATCTTTTCATCGGCTGTGTAATACTGATGTGTCGGAAGTTTCCTAGTCTATCGTTCCATACGAAGCTGCAATGGGGAGACAAAGACGGCCAGGCGTAGTGTTGGCCACCTTCCCCTTCAAGTGCCGTGCCGGCCTTCATAGGTGCACGCTTATAGCACTTGCCCCAAAAGCCTATGTAGGCTACACAGGGGATCTGTGTCTTTGTTTGTGTGTGAATGAGGATCAACAAGTGTTCATCTTCTTGGTTCTTTCGGTAAAGTCGTCACGTAGAAGGGAAACAATAAAAATAATGAAATAAAACATAATAAAATAATTATCACGACGTTTCGGCTACAACGCAAGCAGCCGTCCTCAGGTGAAAACCAGGTCTGTCGAGGCGACAGCGTCTGAATGAAACAGCACCATGCTTGGAGCGTATATTTAAGCTGGGTTGGAAGGGGGGGAAAGGGCACCTTGACAAAAGAATTTGCATATCAAGAGGAATTCAGCATATTTATGGGAAATGCAGGTATGTGATTAGCACCACTTATGTCCGTGCATTATGCAGGATTAGCAGCATCAAAGGGAGGGGATATGGGAAATGCAGGTATGTGATTAGTACTACTTATGCCCGTGCATTATGCAGGATTAGCAGCATCAAAGGGAAGGGATATGGGAAATGCAGGTATGTGATTAGTACTACTTATGCCCGTGCATTATGCAGGATTAGCAGCACCGAAAGAACCAAGAAGATGAATCCCTGCAGTCATGAAAGCTTTAAATCGAGATCTACAAGTGTGTTTATAGCTCCCGGTATCTCCCCAAGTCTCCCCATGTGTCCCAATGTCTCCGTATCTCTCCCATTTGTCTCGCCTGGTATACAGCAGGTTGTGGATTTAATCCCAACCCTGACGCCCGATCTACGTCTGGAGTTTGCGTGTTCTCCCCGTGGTCGCGTGGAATTGCTTCCGGGTCCACCGGTTTTACCCTCCACATTTAGAATAAACTTTGAATAGTATTTGGCTGCTATAAATTCCCAAGTGACAAGCCACTAAATTGAGCTACCATATGCGATAGCCTTCTTCGAAAGAGCTATACGGCTCAGCGGGCCTAACCTGGTAAAACAAAAAATTAAATATAGTTTATAGTTTTAGTTGAACAACCGATCTCCCCGCGTTCTCTCGAATCTCGCCGTGTCCACCCCCCCCCCCCCCCGCTTATCTCACCGTTGCTCGTGCTCCTGTCGCAGCGATCTCATCTCCTCCTCTCGGAGGCGAAGTGTCTCCCGCATCGAGGCCTCCATCTGCACGGCCTGGTCCCGGGCGGCCTCCTCCGTGTGCAGCAGCCTCTTCAGCTCCTCGACCCGAGCGCGTCCACCCCTCTCCACCGCCTCCCTCTCCTTCACCTCACTGTCTCTCTCCTCCACCAACCCGTCTCTCTCCTCCTTCAACTCATCTCTCTCCTTCACTACAGCGTCTCTCTCCTCCTTCAACTGCACTCTATCCTCCACCACCCGGTCTCTCTCCTCCTTCATCTGGTCTCTCTCCTCCTTCAACCGGTCTCTCTCCTCCTTCAACTGGTCTCTCTCCTCCACCACCAGGTCTCTCTCCTCCTTCAACTGGTCTCGCTCCTCCTTCAACCCATCTCTCTCCTCCACCACCAGGTTTCTCTCCTTCATTACAGAGTCTCTCTCCTTCACTACAGAGTCTCTCTCCTCCACCAACTGGTCTCTCTCCTTCACTACAGAGTCTCTCTCCTCCTTCAACTGCTCTCTCTCCTCCTTCAACCCATCTCTCTCCTCCTTCAACCGGTCTCTCTCCTCCACCACCAGGTCTCTCTCCTCCTTCAACTGGTCTCGCTCCTCCTTCAACCCATCTCTCTCCTCCACCACCAGGTTTCTCTCCTTCATTACAGAGTCTCTCTCCTTCACTACAGAGTCTCTCTCCTCCACCAACTGGTCTCTCTCCTTCACTACAGAGTCTCTCTCCTCCTTGATCCGGTCTCTCTCCTCCTTGATCTGGTCTCTCTCCTCCTTCAACTGGTCTCTCTCCTTCACTACAGAGTCTCTCTCCTCCTTGATCCGGTCTCTCTCCTCCTTCAACTGGTCTCTCTCCTTCACTACAGAGTCTCTCTCCTCCTTCATCTGGTCTCTCTCCTCCTTCAACTGGTCTCTCTCCTTCACTACAGAGTCTCTCTCCTCCTTGATCCGGTCTCTCTCCTCCTTCAACTGGTCTCTCTCCTTCACTACAGAGTCTCTCTCCTCCTTCATCTGGTCTCTCTCCTCCTTCAACTGGTCTCTCTCCTTCACTACAGAGTCTCTCTCCTCCTTGAACTGGTCTCTCTCCTCCACCACCCGGTCTCTCTCCTCCTTCAACTGGTCTCTCTCCTTCACTACAGAGACTCTCTCCTTCACTACAGAGTCTCTCTCCTTCACTACAGAGTCTCTCTCCTCCTCCTCCTCCACCACCACCACCACCGCCACGTCCGAGTCTCTCTCCGTCTCCGTGTCGTCCCCACGCTCCACCACCTCCGAGTCACTCTGGGTCCCCGTGCCGTGGCTCGGCTCCGCTGCCTGCTTCACAATCAAAAGAGACGCGAAACCATCTTCTTGGTTCTTTCGGTAAAGTCACGTAGAAGGGAAGTAATAAAATAATAAAAAATCATAAAATAAAAAAATTATTATATTTTATTATATTATTTTATTATTTTATTTTATTATTTTATTTTATTATGTTTTATTTTTATTATTTTATTATTTCCCTTCTGCGTGACTTTACCAAAAGAACCAAGAAGATGAATCCCTGCAGTCACGAAAGCTTTAAATCGAAAAATCAAAAGAGACGCGAAACCCTGAACGTTAACGCGGACTCAACGCGTGCGCGCGCAGTCAGCGATTCACAGCAACTGCTGTCTCGGGGGCGAGGCCACGTAAGGCACTTACCCACATCTATGTCGTCGAGAATGCCTCCCTCCCCTCCCTCCTCACGACCTCTGACACACAGCCAAACAAAATGGAATCGTCCGCGCGGCGTGCGAGCGTTTGACAGCGCGCCGATTATTACCGTAGACACGGCTCGATTCGCCCGGCGAGGTCGGGAGAACGATCGTCGCAAACGCAATTTGGCGATTAGATAAGCGACGTGTTTCACCCGAGTCCTCGCCCGCATGTTGAACTTCTTTTGCACAGTACGTAGCCAGCCGTGCTAATCGGAGGTGCGGGGGAAGCAGCAACAATCTAAACACAAAAAAGCAGTCCTAAAGAAATTCGTTTTAAATCCAGGTGATTTAAGTGCACAGCTCAAAGCGGCTTCCTAATTATCGGAAGAGCGTTCCAGACGGCCGCAAAAGCAGCGCGTCTGAAAGCGCCGCGCTACGCAGTGGCCGTCTTTGTTCGCTGAGCGAGCCAAAGGCCGCTCTGCGAGTATGACGACCGGAGTTTGAGCGATGGTGGTTTATGCTCCTTGACGAGCTCCGTGAGTTGTTGCGCTTCAATTGTTGGCAAGCGCTTCGTGCGCGCAACGAACGCCGCCGCTCGCGATCAGCCACGTCACCACGCAAGCCTCCCTTCGTCCTGCTCCCCTCCCTACCTCCCTCCCGCCCCCCGCTCCATACTTTACCTTCTCTGCTTGCACCGTGGGACTCTGCTCTGTGAGATGAGCGTCTCTCCTCTTGCAGCACCGCACCACTTGCGCCAGGGTCTGCGGTAAACGCGCGCGCGGAACAGACAAAGGGGGCCCCCCGTGTAGCCTTCAAGGGACCGTTGGAGCGAGTGCCGTTAGCGAGAGTAGCAGCAGCACCTACGAAGGCCGGCACGGCACACGAACGGCCGGGTTGGCGAGCACCACGCTCGACCGCCTTGGTTTCGCACCAGGTACTCGTTCGAGGCTGATTCGACCTCGGGGAGGCCCAGGAGCGATTCAGGTTATCGTTACTGGTGTTGGCCGTGAGCGGGAATCGAACTGGGGTCGCTGAAGTTCTTAGCGCGGCGCCTTAACTGCCACTCTACCGCTCCCCACAAAGATTCCCCGTGCAGCCTTAAACCGTTGGGGCAAGTGCTGTTAGCGAGAGGAACCTTTCGTGACTGCAGAGATTCATCTTCTTGGTTCTTTCGGTAAAGTCACGTAGAATGGAAATAATAATAAAATAATAAAAATGAAACATAATAAAATAATTCTCACGACGTTTCGGCCACAACGCAAGCGGCCGTTCTCAGGTGAGGAACAGGTCAGAAGACAAAGTCATTCAGACTCTGTCGTCTCGACAGACCTGTTCCTCACCTGAGGACGGCCGCTTGCGTTGTGGCCGAAACGTCGTGAGAACTATTTTATTTTTATTATTTTATTATTTCCATTCTACGTGACTTTACCGAAAGAACCAAGAAGACGAGAGGAACCTATGAAGGCAGGCACGGCACACGAGGGGGTCGGTGGCTAGCACCACGCCCGGCCACATTTTGGGCCTCTGGGCTTGGCGCTCAGCGGCCGTGATTCAAAAATAAACGCGGAGGCAGAGACGGCAAAACAGTGCAGACCTCTCCAGATGATTGGCTACGTACGTTTGGCTACGTACGTTTGGCTAAGTTCGACGTACATACTAAACTATCTTTTACTTTAGAAGCGACCGGGCCACAAATTAATTGGCTTATCATTGCGTGGAAATTTCTAGCAGCCAAATACCACGGACGCATGTTTCAAAATGGAGGGAAAAAACCAAAGGACCCGGAGAAAAATCCACGCAACCACGGGGAGAGAGAGACACACAAACTCCACATATACAGCAGCAGGCATCGTCAGGGTTCGGGAACGAGCCCACGGCCTCCTGTATACCAGTCGAGCTCGTTAACGTCTCCTAGCCACCGTGGCGAGACAGAAGTGAACCACCCCTCACCTCATCCAGCTGCCTCACCACCGCCTCCCTGCGCCGCTCCATCTCCACGGCGACGTCCAGGGCCTGGCGAGTCTCGCGCAGCCTGCTGAGGGCCCAGGCGAGGCGGCGCTGGGTGACTCGGTGACGTTTCCTCTCCCTTGTGGAGGGGGGGCGGGGAGGTAAGGAGGACACGATCATTAAGCATCATTGACGGCGATGACGAATCAGCGATCACCATTGGAACCTCATTTGCTAGTAAAAAATAAAATTGTTTTTTTAACCTTTTTTTTTTTACTGGCAAATGAGGTTCCAATGGTGTAAATGCTTTACCCCGAGCTCTCGTACTCTGATGGTGCGTTGTCTTTGAGTTGTGCGCCTTTTAGCGTCATCTGGTCCAACCCATGTGAGATTAGGCTCTAAGGAAAGCTGTCTCGGGTGTGGACCAATCAACTTCAAGGACGCCTTCTTACGTGTTCAACCGACTTACCTCAGGGCAGCTGCCCAAGGCCCCATCTCCTCCCCGCGCCGCTTCAGGAGGACGAGCAGGAGGTTCACGATGGCCGGCATGCGATGCAGTCCGCCGCTCAGCATGGCCGCCGCAGAGGCAGGGGACGGCTGCTGCTGCTGCTGGCGGAGACTCGAGACGCGGGTGACGTGGGGAGATGCGGGGACGCGTGGGGAGACCGAGGGAGACGCGGGGACACCGGGGGAGAGACTGCGACACGCAGCGAGATTAGGGGAGCTTTGGGAGGCTGGAGAGACGCAGCGAGACATAGAGAGGTCAGGGGGAACACGGGAGGTTGGAGAGAGACAGGGAGACACAGGAAGCCCAGAGGAGACACGGGGACCGCAAAAGAGACTGGAGACGGAGAGAGATGGAAAGCAGAGGGGAGAAGAGGGGGAGTGCCGGAGAGCGAAGAGTCTCTGGGGAGAGAGGCCCGGGGAGTGGGAGTCCTCTGTGTGCGAGTGAGCGCGCAGACGCTCCGGTGAGGGGTCACTGTCGTGTGCGGGTGAGCGTGGTGCAAGTGAGCGCGCGGGTGAGTGCGTACACGAGTGTTCGCTACGTGGTTCAGGTGAACTAGCATGTGAATGTTCGGGTGTCCGCTCGTTCAAACCTTCAGCTTCACTGCGAGGCGAGTGGGTAAGTGAGCGTTCAGGTAAGTGGGCAGTTGAATAGTCGAGCGAGTGTGTAGGCGAGTATTCAGGCGAGTAGGTGGGTGAGCGTTCATTCAATTGTTCGTGTTCATCGCGAAGTGAGTGGAGAGGTGAACGTGTAGATGAGTGATGATTCAATCCTTCAGCTTCATCGTGAGCTGCACGTGTGGGCGAGTCTTCAGGTGAGAATGTAGGCGAGCGAATAGGCGTGTCCATCGATGCACGTCGATCCAGTCCCATGGACTCCTCTCCACGTGACTCCATCACCCGACCCCCACAATGCACCATTGCTGCCACTTGCTCCGGGGAATTGTGGGAGTCCAGCGGGGGTGGCTGCCCCCCCACGGAAGTCACCGCCATCCTGGCTCGACTGACCAATCAGGAGCTGCCTTGAGAAACCCCGTCAGCCAATGGAAAGGCTGGCTTGGGAGAGAGGTTGCCGTGGCGACGGTGGTGGGTAGCTGAGTCTGTGGCGGGAGGGAGATGGGAAGGGGGTGAGCAGCTTGGTGAGTAAATGGGTGGGAGGTGTAGGGGAGGGTGGGCGAGTGGGTGGGTTGGCGAGTGGGTGAGTTGGTGAGTGGGTGGCTTGGTGAGTGGGTGAGTTGGTGAGTGAGTGGGTTGGTGAGTGGGTGGGTGAGTGAGCACTTTGGTGAGTAAATGGGTGGGAGGTGTATGGGAGGGTGGGCGAGTGGGTGGGTTGGCGAGTGGGTGAGTTGGTGAGTGAGTGGTTTGGTGAGTGGGTGGGTGAGTGAGTAGTTGGGTGAGTAAATGGGTGGGAGGTGTAGGGGAGGGTGGGCGAGTGGGTGGGTTGGTGAGTGGGTGGGTGAGTGAGGAGGTGGGTGGGTTGGTGAGTGAGTTGGTGAGTGGGTGAGTTGGTGAGTGGGTGAGTTGGCGAGTGGGTGAGTTGGTAAGCGAGTGGGTTGGTGAGTGGGTGAGTGAGTGAGCAGTTTGGTGAGTAAATGGGTGGGAGGTGTAGGGGAGGGTGGGCGAGTGGGTGGGTTGGTGAGTGGGTGAGTTGGCGAGTGGGTGAGTTGGTGAGTGAGTGGGTTGGTGAGTGGGTGGGTGATGTGAGCAGTTTGGTGAGTAAATGGGTGAGAGGTGTAGGGAAGGGTGGGCGAGTGGGTGAGTTGGTGAGTGGGTGAGTGAGTGGGTTGGTGAGTGGGTGGGTGAGTGAGAAATTTGGTGAGTAAATGGGTGGGAGGTGTAGGGGAGGGTTGGTGAGTGGGTGAGTTGGTGAGTGAGTGGGTTGGTGAGTGGGTGGGTGAGTGAGTAGTTGGGTGAGTAAATGGGTGGGAGGTGTAGGGGAGGGTGGGCGAGCGGGTGGGTTGGTGAGTGGGTGAGTTGGTGAGTGGGTGAGTTGGTGAGTTGGTGAGTGGGTGAGTTGGTGAGTGGGTGAGTTGGTGAGTTGGTGAGTGGGTGAGTTGGTGAGTGAGTGGATTGGTGAGTGGGTGAGTTGGTGAGTGGGTGAGTTGGTGAGTGAGTGGGTTGGTGAGTGGGTGGGTGAGCAGTTTGGTGAGTAAATGGGTGGGAGGTGTAGGGGAGGGTGGGCGAGTGGGTGGGTTGGTGAGTGAGTGAGTTGGTGAGTGGGTGAGTTGGTGAGTGAGTGGGTTGGGGAGTGAGTGAGTTGGTGAGTGGGTGAGTTGGTGAGTGGGTGAGTTGGTGAGTGAGTGGGTTGGTGAGTGGGTGGGTGAGCAGTTTGGTGAGTAAATGGGTGGGAGGTGTAGGGGAGGGTGGGCGAGTGGGTGGGTTGGTGAGTGAGTGAGTTGGTGAGGGGGTGAGTTGGTGAGGGGGTGAGTTGGTGAGGGAGTGAGTTGGTGAGGGGGTGAGTTGGTGAGTGGGTGAGTTGGTGAGTGAGTGGTTGGTGAGTGGGTGGGTGAGCAGTTTGGTGAGTAAATGGGTGGGAGGTGTAGGGGAGGGTGGGCGAGCGGGTGGGTTGGTGAGTGAGTGAGTTGGTGAGTGGGTGAGTTGGTGAGTGAGTGGGTTGGTGAGTGAGTGGGTTGGTGAGTGAGTGAGTTAGTGAGTGGGTGAGTGGGTGAGTTGGTGAGTGGGTGAGTTGGTGAGTGGGTGAGTTGGTGAGTGAGTGGGTTGGTGAGTGAGTGGGTTGGTGAGTGAGTGAGTTAGTGAGTGGGTGAGTTGGTGAGTGGGTGAGTTGGTGAGTTGGTGAGTGGGTGAGTTGGTGAGTGGGTAAGTTGGTGAGTGGGTGAGTTGGTGAGTGGGTGAGTTGGTGAGTGGGTGAGTGGGTGGGTGAGTGAGCAGTTGGGTGAGTAAATGGGTGGGAGGTGTAGGGGAGGGGTGGGTGAGTGGGTGAGTTGGTGAGTGGGTGAGTTGGTGAGTGGGTGAGTTGGTGAGTGGGTGAGTTGGTGAGTTGAGTGGTGAGTGGTGAGTTGGTGAGTTGGTGAGTGGGTGAGTTGGTGAGTGGGTGAGTTGGTGAGTGAGTGGGTTGGTGAGTGGGTGAGTTGGTGAGTGGGTGAGTTGGTGAGTGAGTGGGTTGGTGAGTGGGTGAGTTGGTGAGTGAGTGGGTTGGTGAGTGGGTGAGTTGGCAAGTGGGTTAGTTGGTGAGTGAGTGGGTGGGTGAGTGAGTTGGTGAGTGGGTGAGTTGGTGAGTGAGTGGGTTGGTGAGTGGGTGAGTGGGTTGGTGAGTGCGAGCGTTTGACCGAAAGAACCAAGAAAATGAATCCCTGCAGTCACGAAAGCTTTAAATCCAAATGTATTTATACTGCACGAGAAATCCGATGAGCTATGAAGCTCTTTCATTGCAGATGTTTCTAAACGTTAAAACAACAACGAACGCAACACACAAACACGATGTGAGTGCAAAGTATAAGAAGGGTAAACAATTCACTTAAACGTAAAAAGTAAACTATATGTTGTTATTTTACAAAGTAAAATAAATCCCACTGAGGTATTAACCCACAAACCTCGTGTTCCACAGTGCACACTTGCCCCTACAGTCTGTTACAGGCTACACGGGGGACCTTTGTTTTGTTGTATATCTGTGGAGGTGGGTGGACTACGCACCAAGTACTCATTTGAGGCTGAGCCGACCTAGGGGAGGCACAGGACCGGTTCTAATAATCGTCACCGGGTGTTGGCGGTGAGCGGTAGTGTATCTAACCGCTCCCCACACACAGATGTACACACATTCATGCATATTCACACACACAGATGGTTATTCGTAGACAAATATGGTTGGTTATTCGTATACACACAGATGTACACACACACACTCGCCTCACCTACCTCGCGTTTTTTTCTCTTATTCTTCTTCTTTCAGGCGTTCGCTCGATCTCGAGTGCCGCCTTTACGCTTTGAGTTAAAGTTTTTTGTTAAAATATATTAATATTTTAAAACTAAGTTCATAATTTACCTCAGACTCCTTCGCGGCTTTCAATCACCGCCAACCGTTTGCGGGGGGAGGGGGGGGGGAGCCGGCTGTTGGTACCGGTCACGTGACGCCAACGCCGCGTCGTGATTGGCCCGATTTGGATTTCCCGCCAAAACGACCGGAGCCAACCAGAGCTCGCGCGGGGAGTCCGGCGGGAAGGGACCCGGATGCTCATCTGCATTGGGAAATTTGAAGTCTTATTGGTGGGGTGCTTATGTGAACTGGGAAATTAAACGTCTATAGTATTGATTGATTATAATCGATTAGCAGACGCGAATAGCAAACCTGTCAACCGCTGATCAGTGCCCGAGCTTGTCACCCCCGTGCCCCTACACTACTATACACTACTTTACACTACACTATACACTACACTATACACTACACTATACACTACACTATACACTACACTATACACTACACTATACACTACACTATACACTACACTATACACTACTTTACACTACACTATACACTACTTTACACTACACTACAATACACTATACACTACTTACACTACACTATACACTACACTATACACTACACTACTACACTATACACTACACTATACACTACTTTACACTACACTATACACTACACTACTACACTATACTATACACTACACTATACACTACACTATACACTACACTACTATACACTACACTACTATACACTATACACTACACTATACACTACACTACACTATACACTACACTATACACTACACTATACACTACACTATACACTACACTATACACTACACTACTATACACTACACTACACTTACACTACACTACACACTACACTATACACTACACTATACACTACACTACTATACACTACACTATACACTACACTATACACTACACTACACTATACACTACACTATACACTACACTACTATACACTACACTATACACTACACTACACACTACACTATACACTACACTACTATACTATACACTACACTATACACTACACTATACACTACACTACTATACACGACACTACTATACACTATACACTACACTATACACTACACTATACACTACACTACACTTACACTACACTACACACTACACTATACACTACACTATACACTACACACTACACTACTATACACTACACTATACACTACACTATACACTACACTACTATACACTACACTATACACTACACTATACACTACTACACACTACACTATACACTACACTATACACTACCACATACCTGTCAGACCTTATTAATCACCAGACCGCTGCGACAATTGTTTCGCAAGCGACCTGGCGAATGGACAATAGCTCTCGCAAGCGGCTGGCTGCTTCATCATCATCATCACCGTGGCCACCATCGCGTGGAAATGTCTAGCGGGAGCCAAGACTCTGAAACGCCGCGTGTGATGTCGATTCTAAATGTGGAGGGGGAAAAATTTAACCCGTAAAAATAAAGTTTTTCACTATAAATCCTTTATATGCGTGGCGGCTAGAGTCCTCTCGTCCTCTGGCTTGAGATGGCTGCCTCCTATGGGTCAGATAATTGCCTGCCACCATTAAGCAATTGGTAATTAAATATTTTTAAAAAAATCCTAAAAGGTGTAACATTTTAGAGAAATTTTTTTCACGAAAATTAATTGTCACGCACAACGAGTCTGTGTGCAAAATGTCAGCTCGATTGGATCACGGGAAGTGGGTTAAAAAACGACCGAAAGATTTGCACGGTCGTAAGCAAGCAAGCAAGTGAACTTAATATAAAGAATTTAAAAAGCGGAGGACCCAGAGAGAGAAATCCACGCGACCACGGGGAGAGACACAGAGAGAGAGATTTACAAACTCCGAATATACAGCAGGTGTCAGGGTCGGGATGGAACTCACGACCTCCTGCGTACCAGGCGAGGTATTTAACATCTCCTAGCCACCGTGATGATGATGATGAGAGACAGACACGCAAACTCCAAATCGACAGCAGCAGGCGTCAGGGTCGGGATCGAACCCACGACTTCCTGTATACCAGGCGAGGTAGTCAACATCTAGCCACCGTGATGATGACGAGAGAGACGCAAACTCCAAATACACAGCAGCAGCAGGCGTCAGGGTCAGGATGGAACCCACGACCTCCTGTAGACCAGGCGAGGTAGTTAACATCTCCTAGCCACCGTGACGATGATGATGATGAGAGAGAGACGCAGACTCCAAATCGACAGCAGCAGGCGTCAGGGTCGGTATCGAACCCACGACCTCCTGTACACCAGGCGAGGTAGTTAACCTCTAGCCACCGTGATGATGACGAGAGAGACGCAAACTCCAAATATACATCAGCAGCAGGCGTCAGGGTCGGGATGGAACCCACGACCTCCTGTAGACCAGACGAGGTAGTTAACATCTCCTAGCCACCGTGATGATGATGATGAAAGAGAGACACGCAGACTCCAAATCTACAGCTGCAGGCGTCAGGGTCGGGATCGAACCGACGACGTCCTGTAGACCAGGCGAGGTAGTCAACATCTCCTAGCCACCATGATGATGAGAGAGACGCACACTCCAAATATACAGCAGCAGCAGGCGTCAGGGTCAAGATCGAACCCATGACCTCCTGTATACCAGGCGAGGGAGTTAACATCTCATAGCCACCGTGATGATGATGATGAGAGAGAGACGCAAACTCCGAATCTACAGCAGCAGCAGGCGTCAGGGTCGGGATCGAACCCACGACCTCCAGTCGACCCCCGTGGTCGCGTGGATTTCTCTCCAGTTTTCCCTTCCACATTTAGAAGTTTGCACTTGAGAGTATTTGGCTCCTGCTACACATGTCCACGTGATGAGCCACTTCACTGTGGCCATTGGGCATTATCTCGCAGAGAGAGAGAGACACACACAGAGACACACAGAGAGATACACACAGACAGACACACAGAGAGAGACACACAGAGATTCACACAGACAGACACAGAGAGAGACAAATAGAGAGACACACAGAGAGATACCCACAGAGAGAGACATACAGACAGACACAGAGAGAGACACAGAGGGAGATACAACACAGAGACACACAGAGAGAGACACAGAGACACACACAGAGAGACACACAGAGACACACAGGCAGAGAGAGTCACACAGAGACACACAGGCAGAGAGAGACACACACACAGACACACAGAGAGAGACAACCACTCACCAACCCGCTAAACACTCACTCACCGCCCGCTCATCCACTCACTCACCAACCCACTCACCACCCACTCAACCACTCACCACCCAGCTAAAATACTCACCAACCCACTCACTCACCACCCTCTCAACCACTCACCAAAACACTCACCCACTTAGCAACCCACTCACCACCCTCTCAACCACTCACCAAAACACTCACCCACTTAGCAACCCACTCACCACCCTCTCAACCACTCACCAAAACACTCACCCACTTAGCAACCCACTCACCACCCTCTCAACCACTCACCAAAACACTCACCCACTTAGCAACCCACTCACCACCCTCTCAACCACTCACCAAAACACTCACCCACTTAGCAACCCACTCACCACCCTCTCAACCACTCACCAAAACACTCACCCACTTAGCAACCCACTCACCACCCTCTCAACCACTCACCAAAACACTCACCCACTTAGCAACCCACTCACCACCCTCTCAACCACTCACCAAAACACTCACTCACTTAGCAACCCACTCACCACCCTCTCAACCACTCACCAAAACACTCACCCACTTAGCAACCCACTCACCACACTCTCAACCACTCACCAAAACACTCACCAACTTAGCAACCCACTCACCACCCTCTCAACCACTCACAAAAACACTCACCCACTTAGCAACCCACTCACCACCCTCTCAACCACTCACCAAAACACTCACCCACACCAACACACTCAACCGAGCCACTCACGTTATCACAACACTCACCAACCCCACCAACACCCACAAGAAACTTCATCCATTCACTCACTCACCCATCCACTCACTCACCTACCAGCTCACTCACGGCATCACGCGCTCACTCATCCACTCACTCGCTCACCCAACTCGCCCGCTCGCTCACATACTCATCTACTCGCCCAGTCACTCGCCCACTCGCTCACCCACTCGCTCACGCACTCGCCCACGCACTCGCCCACTCACGAACTCACACACTCATCTCCCCACACACTCACTCACTCGCCCACACACTCACCTACTCGCTCACTCACTCGCACACACAATCACTCACCTATTCGCTCACGCACTCGCCCACTCACTCACACAATCACTAACCTACCCACTCATCTACTCACAAACCCGCTCACTCATTCCCTCACTCACTCGCTCATCTACTCAGACACGAGCTCACTCTCTCGCGCACTCGCCCACTCACTCGCACAATCACGAACTCACCCATTCATCCACTCACACACTCACTCATCCACTCACCGAAAAACTCACCCCACGGGCCAACCCACTCACTCACTCACCAACCCACCCACCCCCCTCCCCGCCCTGGTGAGTGTGCGGTGAGTGAGAGCAGGCGAGGGGTGGGACTTGCGTCTGTACAGACTCTGCTTTATTCCATCTCCATAGGACACAGGACAGCCGGGACACATCGCGACATCCAGGACACACGGGGGGGGGGGGGGGGGGCAGTCAGGACACACCTGGGCACCAGACAGCGTGCATACAACCACTCACATACACAGTACATAATACAAAGATTCCCCGTATAGCCTTAACATACTGTTGGGGTAAGTGCTGTTAGCGAGCACCTACACACACACTCTTACATACAAATCCACACAGATATACACACACAGACACACACACAGACACACACACAGACAGACACACACACAGTCACACAGACACAAACACACAGACACACACAGACATACAGACATACACACAGACACACATATACACACAGAGATACACACACACAGACACACACACAGACACACACTTACATACCAAGACAAGATGCCCCGTGTAGCCTCGACAAGGACGTTTGGGGGGGTTGGGACAAGTGCTGTTTGCGCGCAC